TCTAAAGTCTAATTATGAAATGTATGAAAACGGAGTAAGAGACAGTCAATGACACTGACAGGTGGCTAAATCAAAACTGATAAAAGGAAATGCTATTTCATAAAACAAGAACAAAATTTTCCAATACTAGTATTTTTACATTCTTGTTACCTCCTCTCTAAGGTAATCAATCCCAATCTTCAAATGGTTTTCTATGCTCTTAATTATTCCAGTCATTCAGCTTGAACTCCTCTCTAATCCTGCAATATCTTTTTGAGGTGGTGTAACTAGTACCAAATGATGTAATCCAGATGATTCCCCATCCTTTGTGCCACCAATAATTTTGTTTGCTTTACCTGCAGGTGCACACTGAACAGGGTTCTTCATTGAACATTTTACAATGATGCTTAGCTTGTCTCCACAAACCAATACTGTTAATTTAGAACCTACAGGTGTAAAGGTAATGCAAACTTTTCCCTTTGATGCATGTTACCTTTTTGTTTGTTTTGAATTTTATCTGCAGTGATGTTGCTGATGCACAACACTGAACTATTCCTTCAGTGTTGCCCATTAACCCACCTTTGTTAAATCCCTGTCCAGACTTTATTAACTTAATGTTATCTGAAATTTTTTTCTACCTGACAACTCAATGCATTTCCCAGGTCATTCATAAATACAGTAAACACCATGAAGAGACTTTCAAACCACATGCCATAAAGAAAAGTGACCAATTATTCCTAGTCCTCTTTCCTGTATTAACCAGCTTTTTATTATGCCATTCCTTCGCCTCTTAGCCTACAGTTAATTAGTGTCTTTACTGACCTTTCATGAATACCTTTGTTACAATTTGAAAATTCAAGTAAGTTATGTCAAGCAGTCTCCTGTTTTCAAACACATTCAAAGAATTCTAACAGCTTTGCAGGGTAAGATTTCTCTTCGGAGAAAGCATACAACCCTACCACAATCTTCTATCATTTAAATGAGTTCACCAAGCACAAGCGTGAGGCCTGCAGGTCTGTAACTCCCAAGGCCACTGCTAAGTCCTTTTCATTAAATATAGGAATAAGAGTTCCTACTTTTCAATTCTACAGTATCAGTCTTGAATGAGAGAATATATATTTTACTAGCATCTCAGATACTTCATACTTGGGAGCTCCTTCAGAATGCTTGGATGGACATCCCCTGAGCTTGCTGATGTTTAAAAGTATAAATTTGTTCCAACAAGTCTTCTAACACTTCAGCTGAATAGTATCTCATCTTTACTACCAAAAAACAGCAAGTATCTTTCTAACATCTTCTATGGGGAAGTCTGACACCAAAATCTTTTGGATTTTTCAACAACATCCTCATCTTAACTGATTTAGCTTTGTCAACCAGAGGACTGATTCATCTCAAGATTCCTGCATCTAACCAGCTCTTGTTTATTTTCATATCTTCAGTGGTTTGCTTTTCAAAATCTTTCTTCAGTCTCCTATTACTTGCTGCCTGCTGTTATTTAGAATTCCAGTAATTGGCTTTACAATATTAGACTTGCAAATTTTGAAGGATTTCTATTTGGCCCAAATAACCTCATGAACTTTGCCATATTGCCATGTTTGTCCACTTCAGGTGTTCTTGGCTCCCTGTTTGTTCACAGGCACACATGGTCTTTTGAGACTATGATTCATTCCTTAAACAAAATCTATGCCACACGCAAGCATTTTACTTCCTTTTGACTTTAGACCCTGAGGGCACGTCCAGACGAGCGTGGACATTTGGTTCCCCAGGGACAACTAGCAGTGGGACACCTTGTGCTGCTGCTAGTTGTCTCTGGGGAATGCCTGTGCCATATCCAGTGTATAGCAAGTTACCCCAGGTGGGGTAGAGGAGACTAGGGTCAGCAAAGTTGCTGGCCCCAGCAGCCTTACCTGGGACCCCAGGGGCCAGGGAAGCTGCAGCCACGTTGCTTTTGCAGCTCGGAGCCTGGCTGACAGCTGGAGTGTGGGTCCAACCGGCCAGGCTCCAGTTTTGGGCAGCGCACGCTATCCCCATGTGCATCACCCTGCTTTTTTTCTGCACGGGGTTTTTTGATCTCCAGGGGTCATAAAACCTCTCTGCACTGCAAGGTAGCAGCACAGGAAACACCCGAATGTGTGATATGTGGCGTTGCAAAACGCACGGCCGCACTAGTCTGGATGTGGCCCTTGTTACTGAGAGCGACGTTTTCAAAAGAAGTTATTGTATCACCTTTTGACATATTATCTTTTGCACAGATGCTGAATCTAATTATATTGCAGTCATGTTGTTAGTGACTTGATTATAGTTACTTAAGACAGGATTTGTCCACACCTGGGAGTTTTTCAGATGATGTCTTCCCATTTTCTCAGGAATAATAATTCTGGAAGTACAGGCAGTCCTCAGACTTACGACACAATTGGTTCCTGAAAACTGCGTCTTAAGTCGAAACAATGCTTCTGGGAACCAATCTTCTCATAAGAAACAATGTTATAAATGGAGGATTAGTTCCTGAACCAAGGCCCGATACCCTATTTTCACCAAAAATACCCCAGAATTTTGTACTCGATCAATTATAGATGAGTAATATAGCTACATTAATGTTTTCATATTGTAAATAGCAATCATTAATTTGGAAGGACTTCTTTGAGGTGACTTTGCTGGACTTTTTGAAAGGCTCTTGGCTGGAGTCTTCTCAGGAGTCTTGTCTGCTTTCTTAAAGGTGTCCGAGGAAGTTTAGACAGATGTTCTCCAGGGAGATGGGCAACGCAGCAAACTTGTTCACTGGCGTGGCGTCGCATCGGCTCAAGCGTTGCAAGTTGAAACTGACATCATAAAGTTGAAACAGGGTGTCAGTTTATAAAGGTTTAAGTGCGAAATGTTGTAACTTCAAACACTGTAAGTCAAGGACTGCCTGTAGTGCAACTCACATTGCTTTGGTATGCCAACTAAAGGTCCTCTCCTTTCATATCATCTCATGCTCAAAGGGTGCTCTTTTTCAAATGTACACGCAATAGTCTTGGTAGACATCCCACAGTACAATATTCTACCACAAGGCTCTATGTATCCCAGGATTATTTTTGAAGCCCGTTATGATGTACTGACCAGAAGGCACCAACCTTTTGAACTTTGCCTCCTATCAGCCATTCAAACATCTGGCTTTTGTGAGCCAATACCATTTTGAAACTGCTGTCAAGAGCTGAGCACCATGACGGTCATCAGTATGAATAGGTAATACCTGTGCATTTGCCAGAACTTTGAGGAAGTTGGGAGACCACCAGGGTCATACCAAAGGAATCTCACAGAGGAGGATGACCAGGACATCAAGTAGTTGCTTGTATTTTAACTTTTCTTGGAGCTGCTTCGATTGGTGGACTGCTGCTTCTAGGCTTAACCACTTAATGATGGCTGATGAGACAGGACAACAGCCAGAAGTCAGGAACCAAGAAGAGTTTCAAAATGGCAAAGGCCCCTTGCCTAAAAATCTGTGCAAATCACCCCCTGAAACTGAAGTAACAGAAAGCTTACATAGAAACTCCCTAGGGTGGGGAACAACACAGACATGGTTAACTAGACTCACCAGTCACTCACAAGTTTGCTGCCAGGTGCTGCTAGGAATAGGGTGCTAGCAGTCCCGCTTGTAATCGTGACAAGGAAAAAGAAATTTTCCATGCATTTCCAAGGCTGGGGCAAGTATATTATAGAGACAGGATATAAGAACATCTGAGATTCCATATTGGGGTGAGAGGGAGGTGAGTTGCGGCCGTAAGGAAGAGCATTGTTGGTGGGGGAGGAAAGGAGGAGGCACCCACAAGGGAGCCACATGCAAGGTGTGCAGTGAGGGGGTGCCTGCACAGGTGTGGAGCAGCAGGGAGGAGGATCCGCTTCCAGACTGTAGTATCCCAGGGAATATCCATGTCTGTTTCTAGCCTTTGATGCACTTGCTTGTTGATGCCCTCAAACTGACTTTATAAAAGTTGACTCTTACCCAGCAAGTCCTAATCATGTAGACTGACAATCCTATTTTTACTATGCCTTCTACCAATTTATGCATCTAATTTAGTTAACCTATAAAGGTACACATCTACCCTGCCTTCTGACTAACTACCTCTTTCTACCAATCTGCCAGGAGATCTACCAATCTGCTAAATTATGCTCACCTAGATCCCCTATGAAGCCCCTTTTGAAGACTAACATAGCATTGGGTAAGTTCCAGTTCTCTAGTACAAGAGGTGTTTTTGGCAATAGATAATGCACTAAAGGCAATATATCCACAATTTTAAGTTGGAGCTCCTTCAGGACTCTCGGGCAAAAACCATTCCGCCCTAGCAATTTGCCACCATTTAGCTTAATCTAGGACCTATGCATCTGTATCATGCCTACCTGAGCACACTGTAAAGTTAATCAACAGAGTAAGATAACCTATCTCCCTCTCCCCTGTACTGCAAAAGATTCACCGACATTAATGTACAACACTCTGGAAAGGTCAATAATGCCAGCTCTTTAGAAACTTAAGGCCTGTTTTCAGCAATGAAAAATAAAACTTCTTCTCACAGGAGCTCTATGGTGCTGCAATTACTACTGTCAGTCTGGGAGTCCCTGATGGTCACCTGCCTTCTCAAGCCTTTTGCTGGACTCTCAGTAGAGAAAGAAATGGCCTAATTACACCACGAACACTAAAGAATGATAGCAGAGCATACTTCTGGAAGACTGAGTGAAGGTGCAGGTGCCTCAGACAAAGTAAGAGGTTGCTGAGTAATAGCTGCTTCATGTGGCAACTTATTGATGTATTTTATAGCACATCTGTAGCAGTAAGTATTTTACTGATGGATGAGAGGGGAAGAAACCTTCTGAACGTTATGGACAGCCTCAGCAGCTGCCTATTAAATTCCAGAACTGATCACAGACATGGGGCCAGAATGGACCACGCTTCTAATCTGAGGCTTTAGTGTAGTGAAAGATCACACTTTTGTACAACAGTTTTATAGCATTTTGTGCAATGATTTTATTAAAATTTGCAGCCAGACTGTAAATAATAAACGCCTTTATTGAACATAGCAGTGCCCACTTAAAAACTCCTTGTCTAAGAACTCTAATGGATTCCTTCTCCAGCTGCCTGAGCCCAGCCTAGATTACTGAACGCAATGGGACTGTAACAAATATGCCTAAAATGCTCTGGACACACATTTGAGATCACCGGGATGTGTAAAAGACGGGTAAACACTATTGTGTAAATAGAGCTAGGGCTGGAGAAGTGGTTTGTTCTTTGAAGCTGGGGAAGGCAAAGAACACTCCTACTACCCAATGTTTTCGTGGGGCTACGGGATGCAACTAGGCTGCAGGCAAAAATTAACAAAAGCAGCATTAAATTTGTTAGCAGGATTGTCTACCTCTACATCATCTGCCCTAACATCTGGGCTCTTTGTTAATGAACTTCTTTAGCAGTTCCCTGTGCTCCTTGGTAACATGATGAAGGAAAGCGTTAGCCTTCTGCCTCTGCTGGGATGTTGCCATGAAGTCACTAAATACATCCTCTCTTCCCTTGGTGATTTGTCAAGTATTCAGCCATGGATAACACTCCTGTATGTTCTGTACTGAGAAACAGAGAAACACCACAAGTAGTTATTGTCCCAGCTCTCGTGTCCATGCCAACAATGATAAAGTGTCAATTTTTATTCTATTTTGGAATTATTTTATGATAGGCCTGTCACAGTCTGCAGTAAGCTTGGAGATGGTATGACACACAGCTTTTCATTCCCCCTTAAACAGGGCCTTAGTACCAGTACTGGCTGGATAGGTGAGCAGTAGAGGGCAGATTAGTATTAATATGAGCATGCCTATTAGCATGTGCATCCTCCAGCACAAGGGTAAAACATTCCCCCATAAAACGGATCCTTGTTCAAAAAGATCTTGTTCCCAGAAAAACCGGGAAGGTATGCCTTACTCCTATTTACCTGCAGATCAGCAAGAAGTGCACAGCAGAACTGACTTTTGCATTAACTGTTCTGAACTCAGAGCTAAGGATGCTGAGGGTGCAATTAAAAGTCATGACTGCCTTAATTGGGTCGTGTTTTGAAATGTGCCCGTAGCCAAGTTTGGTGAGTTTACCTCCCACCTAAAAGCTCAGAGCACTGATCAAACTGAGACAAAATACCTCTCCCACTGCTTCTCCCCCAAACCTCTCTCTGCATCTGCAGTTGATATTATTGCCATGCAAAGTATCTGCCTTTTTAACCCCCCAGATTGTTCTCATCTTGGGTAAGGTAGCAGTAAGCAATATGGGAAGGGGGATGGCACATTCATCTGATGGTTGCAGGATTTGATGTCAGAGGGGGCAGGGATGGACCTCCAAGTTTAAATTCTCTAATAGTGCCATTTTAAGCACATGGAAGAAGGAAGAGGAGCAAAAACAAAGAAGCTAAGCAAAGGGAGAAGCTCCTAGCTCATATCTGCCAACATGGTGACCTCCTAACAGACCCAGAACAAAAAAAAAATACTGCCCAAGACTAGAGGTTCACCGATATATCAGTTGCATATCGGATCAGTACCAAAGGGAAATTTACATATTGGCTATTGGCTTTTGTCCGGTAATGTTCAACAACAAATGTAATTAATTATGCCTTCTTGCCACAGCCCCCAGATGCCATATGCATGCACAGCCCCATGCATACAGGTGGCCAGGAATGCAGCTGGGCAATGTGGAGAGCAGCTCCCTGCAGGTAAGCCTGTGGAAGGGAAGGGAAGGGACGGGACGTGGAGTGCAGATCGAGGGGAACTGGGGCTGGGAGCATGATGGAGTCACAGGTGGTTCGTCCAGGGCACGAAGAGGCTTCTCGCCACTAAGCACACCCCCCTGAGGGAGGCACGGGGGAGGGGGCGCAGATTTGTGCACGGGGCAGATGCAGGCTGCTTGCTGCGGGCTCAGGGCTCTCCGCTCTGCTGCCTTTCCCCCAGGACCTCCGTGGCACCCGGCAGCAGTGGGGGCAGTGAGTTGTGCCTCGTGCTGCCAGGTGGGTAGGAGATACATGGCTGGTGCAGAGCTCCCAGGGTAAAGGCAACAGGGTAGAGAGCCCCAAGCCCACAGCAGGCAGCCTGCCTCCACCCTTACCCTGCTCTGGTTAAAAGCATCCCCATGCTTAAAAGTGGTGGCAGTGGTGTTTGAACTAAAGCTAATTCGATGAACCTTAGTTCAAGCACCCTCAACACTATTTTAAAGTGTTGGGATACTGATTCCCTGGATGAGCTGCCCATGGCTCCGTCTCGCTCCCCACCCTGGCCCCGGGTCCCATTCACCACCCTGGCTGGGCAGTGTCCCCAGTCCCAGCTTCACTCCCTCCTTCATCAGCATCCCCCACCCCCCTTCCCAAAACACATCTCTTCCCCTCCACAGACTTACTGCAGAGAGCTGCTGTCCACACTGCCCAGCTGGATTCCTGTCAGTCGGTTATCAGATTGGTTTTGGTCGATATGGCTGGTTGTGACAGCTGAAAATTACCTCTGTGTGATAAGGTGCTTGCTGAAGGCTCTATGAAGATTAGACCAAGAGTTTTTCTGTCATTTGTTCAAATATTAAGCTATATGTTGTTGCTAAGAGCCTAATTACAGTCAAAGATGTAGTAAAGCCTTGTATAAAGTAAGGCCTAGTAAATTTAACAAAGCCTTGAAGTAGTAAGCCCTGTGGCATAGTAAAAATTAACCTTATCAAAAGAATGCAAGGCTTGTACTGCTATTGGTCAGTCTAAGGACAGCTGAAGTAAAGATAATCTGAATGGCTGCAAGTTATCAGCATAGTTCAAAAGTTATAAATTGGCTGGCACATCCAGAAATCATTTAGAAGGAAGATACAGCTCTGTGAAAGGAACTACAGATTAGCTGCTGGCCTGGATTCAGTAGGCCCGTGGATCTCGAGGAGCCCAAGGACTGAATACCAGGGTCCTTCCTGGTACCCCTCAGACAGCGCCGATCGGGGACGCCTGACTTCGCTGAGCTTTGTAGAAAGAGAAACTTGTTGTACATCAGGCATCAGAGGGGACTGCTGATAAGTTGCCGATGCGAATTATTCCTTGTTTTGTTATTTACGTGTAGTTGTGTTTTTGTTAAGTCAATAAACCTTTCTTACCTTCTACCCCTGACCACACTCTCAATCCCAACCCTTCCACAGGCTGCTGGGACAGCTGGTTAATAATTGGCTATCGGTATCGGCCAAGAAAATCTTTATTGGTGCATCCCGACCTAAGACCCCACACAAAGATGTACTGAAACATAGCACATAATACTTACTGAAAGCAGTTCTCTCCTTGCACACTGAGGCTGGTTCTCTGCCTGGATTCCTAGGTTTCTTCTGGTACTATGTTTACACTGGCAGTTTGCACACAGAAGAGATCTTGAATACTTGTAATAGGCTTCCTTCTGTTTAGGGCCCCGTCTAAAGTGATTTCAGTGCTGGTCCAGACCATGTCCTGGATCATCAGAAGGCTCTCTCAAGAGAACAGATCCTGTTGAGCTCTCCTTATAGGAAATGCAGGTCTTGCAGGCTCCATCAGATCTTGTCACTCTCCTGGCATTTTTACAATCCTACAGGAGCTCCTTCCTCAACTGTGACTCTGGACTGCTTCTGAACAGAGCTCTTCTTCATCAGGACCAATATCCAGTATCTTGTACATCTTGGCATTCTACAGACTGAATCTGTTTCTCTTCACAAGTAAATATGAAATATCTTTCAAGAATAGTCTACTAAGGGCTTGTCACTAACTTCTCCCATATTCTCAAGGACTGGTCATTCTAGGAAGTAATCTCTTTAAAGCCTGTTTCTTGGAACTTTACCCTGTTCTGACATTTGACCAGTTAGGATAGCTAAAATTCTCCTTCAGCTTAATCATATTAACAGATTAGTGAAACACAATTTTTCCTTTACAAAAATCATGCTGGTTAGAGCCTATTCTGATCTTCTAAGCATTCATTATTGTGTGTTTAAATTACTGCTTCAAACAACTAACTGGGTACGGATTTGAAGCTTCAATCCTCTTGTCTAATACCTGTTTTTATTTAAAAAACTACAAATGTTTATTAGGAAGCAGAGTTAAGGTATTCCATGAGGATATTCTAGAATTTGGCAGGATCCACAAGCATGGATGACATAGATATGTATTTACATTTCTAGAAAGGTGTAAATAGCTGTATGTATTGAACTGGAGCTCACATATTTGAAATCCACAGTGGATGAAAATGGCATATTTAAGGCTCCTGGCTCACGTTCATTTAAAAGCACCATGGGATATGACCCCAATGCCATGAGGCATAGCAAGAGACATGATTTTGGGATCATGGATCAGATCCAAATTGCATCCTTTCTAGTTGCTAGTGCTGAGGGAGCCTAGCATCATGATCCTAGGCTTCGTCTGCACCAGCAAGTTGAAAATTTGGTGCCCACGCAACGTAACCCAGTGTGGGTCTGGAGCTGACAATCAGCCAAGTGTCAACCCTGGCCTCAGGACCACACCAGAGCCAGTTTGAGACCCTGCTGTCAATTGTTAATTGGCCTTGGGAGAGCTCTGGACATGCCACAGGTTCAATTTAAGGCACTATGAAAACCATCCATAAAAGTGTCCTACATTAAACATGGAACATTTTTATGGCTGGTTTGTCATTTTAAGGCATCTTAAATTGGGTGTACATTAATTGCAGCATAAATATAATGTTCAGAGAAAACTTAAATACTTAGTGCATTTTTTAGGACATGGAGGTTAGTTAGGTCATCTGCCTTAATCACCTGTTTGGTTCTTAACTGATACCAGAGGATCCAGGCATTGTACCGCAAGCTACACACTTCTACAAGTAAATGTTGTCCAACATTAGAAACACTAACAACAAGAAGGGATGTCAAACTTGTCTTTTTATGTGAAAAGATGTCATCCAGCAAAAGTTCAGATTCCTATAGATACAAACAACACACCTTAAGTGCAAGCTATTGGCCAAAACAGGTAACACTTCTTTGGCAGTGCTTAGTGCTGCACATATCTACTCTACTACTGTGAAGGTTCTTACTAGAATATTAATAATATAGTTTGATCTCTCCTGAAGAAAGCCAGAGACACAAAATTTCAATCAACGATCTCTACATCCAGCCCAGTAAGTCATGACTCTGTTTGAATACATTTTCTATAGGAAACAATGTAGAGTTTAATGTACAGTTGCTATAATTCTATGGAAAAAACTCCAACAGAGAGAAACATCTACATCAGGGTTGTCAAAGATATGGCCCATGGGCCAGATCAGCCCACAGAGCCCTATTATACAGCCTGCTGTGCTGCCTGCGGGCTTTACACTGGGCCCTCATGCCAGGCACAGTACAAGCCAGATAGACCAGCCCTGTGTGCAGGGCCAGGGATGCTCGCAGCACCCATCCTGAACCACCTTGTGCACTGGATCTAGCATATGGGGCCAGCCTGTGGGCCCAATCCAACCCGCAGATCAGTTCCATGTCATTCATCTGGCCCGCTGGGCCTAATGAGTTTGATACCCCCTGCTCTACATCATGTGGTAAACCATTCTAATAGTTAATTACTGCTAAATTTCTACACCTTACTTCCCATTTGGATTCATCCAGGATGAATTTTATCTTCTTGCTCTTGGAAGTTCTGCTGCCTGGGTGCTAGGTTAAGGAAAGTTCCAGCTTCAGATACATTTTCCCATTTAGATGCATGTCAAGCTCAAGTTGCCTCTTTAGTTTCTTCAAGACAACAATTAAGTTAGAACCCATTCTGCAAACTTTTTACGCCTTCAAGCCTCTGAAATTGCTAGAATTGCAAGCTCTGAGAACTAACAAACTTCACACCTGTAAGTGATGTCAGCATTTGGGGGGGAGGGGCAAAGTGGATGGAAAGGGGGATGGGAAGGAACTAAAACATGCACCCTGCTGTATATACAATCAAGAATTTCAAAGAATGCAAAATAAAAGGAGCTAAAAAGGGGTTGTAGAGTATACAAAGTTATACAGCAACGTCTTTGTTATGAAACATGGCAATCCCAAGCAACAACTTAAGGCAACTTTACAGCTCTGCGTAGTACTATGTACCATCTCAAAGGCGCAAACTAAAGCAAAGCCACACACGTATGAAGTCGAGTCCTGCATACACCTGTAGGTATTCTAAGTAATTACCTCTAGTCTAAGCTCTCTTTAATGAAAAAATAGCAAGCATAGAAAGAGATTTATAGATTCAAAAACATGCAACTTCATAGCACCTTCAGTGAAAACACAGTAGCACATTTTTGTTACTTCTTTTGTAAGTTATATCCCAAACTGGAATCCGAGCCAACTCTCTAACCATTTTTACTGTCAGAATCCAAGTGTTCGGTACAACAGAACGATATTAATAAGCCCCCATGTCAAAAGAGAGTCTTCAAAGCAGGCCCAGCTCATTAATACAAGTGAAAGAGTCAAATAAGATGAAAGGGGTTTCAGAGCAGTGGGAAGAATACAAATATAAGGAGCAGACAAAAGACGAACCATGGCAGCATCCAGCTCAGAAAGCCTCCCCATCCATGCCACCTTAAAAGGAACGGGAGAGCATCTTGGAAGCCGTCCTACACCCCTGAATATGTGAAGAGCAAGAGAAAAAGTAAGAACTACAGAAAAAGGGTAAATTAGAAGCAGCAGCAGCACAATTTTCAGCAACTGGGGTCAAAGTCATCACAGGTTTCTCGTGGTCCCAGTTTTGAATGCACCACACTATTTACCGTATTTGTCATCCAAAGCTCCCTCACGAAAATTACCAACCACTTACATCACCTGCTTCTCACCGATTCACAGACAGAAGGTCATGCAAAGCACTTATCCCTACGGTTATCGTCTCAAATGTTATTTTGACTAGGAAAATTTGACAAGTTGATAAACTGATAAAGCCTGACTAACATATTTGAGAATATGCCATTTACCTCAGCAAGAGGCTCTCCCATTCATACAGTAGGGAACCTGGCAAACTAGCAAGGCTTTTGCGTAGTCATGTGTAAAATTAGATCTCTGTTGTGCAAGCTAACACACTACTAATATTTTCATTCACAGGGGACTGAGTACTTAATTAACATTTATACTGGCTCTCAAGCTATTTGCAAACACAAAAGCAGCAATGAGTTGATATTTCTCTCTCTCTCTAAATATTACACTAGATCTCTATATCTGTATCATATTTAAAAAGTACTTCTGCCCCCCGTTACAAGTGGACCTCTTAGTAAGTGCCTGCATGATGTGTTTGACATGGCAAGTATTGTTCTGCTGTGACAATTCGTTCCAATGTGCACAATTTTGCCACTGAAGTTTCATTTAAAAGTCCATGTTCTTGTGGCACATTATCAAATGATCCCTACTGTTACCTTAGTTTTCTGTCAATGTGCGAATTACAGTTTATACGGAAGTTAATGACATTTCTCAGCCTTTACCAAGATTCAGTTCATTAACAAATATAGGTTCTCTTTTTAATGAGAGCAGAACAAATATCAAAATTATATTTAAAAGTGTCTACTCAACCAAATATTAACACCCATCAACAATATAGTAATGCTGCTACATAATCTTCTTTTCTACTTTAAAGCCCAGTGTTTAAAAGTTAGTTATGACCATTATCAAGCCCAGTTGCCTCCAGACCTAATGAGCCATCTTACAGTCAAACTTTTTTTGTCTTGGCAGTAAATTAAGTGATTGGTCAAACCGCTGTAAACTCCATTGCTGAATAAATATCAAGTTTCTAAAAAAACACCAACAGCACAAGCTAAAAAGATGTTTTGCTGTAAAGTCTTCCTGAACACCAGGCAACTTTTCTAAAGTCACAAATCTGACATGATGCACTCAAAACTTGACTAGTCTGTCATTACCCACCCCAAAATGCCTCCCCTGCCAATAGTATTTGTCCACTGTTATATAGTGAAGCAGTTCCCCGAAGGAAAAAAGCTTGACTTTGCACCACCCTGTTAAGCACCCGGTACCCTGCTGGTGCTATGTTTAGATACTGATAATTTGTAAACTAGACAACAAAAAGAAATACTTAGAAACAGAGATCAACACCTTTCTTGAGACGTTCATATGTTAAAGGCCATATAATACTACACAACTGCTACCAAAGCAATAACAACTTCTTGGATTTAAAAAGCAACACATCAAAAGCAATATTCAGTAGTTTCGTACTCATCTCAGCACTCATGTGACAACCAAAATAAAACAGTCACCTTATAACTGAAATACAACAAATGTAACCTTAAGGATGCTACCAGGTAAAGTACAGGCCCAAACCTTTAGAAGTTTTTCAAAAAAAATTTTTACATGCTTTTTAATAAAAATAATAATGGCTTACGTAAATATTCCTCAAGCACTATGTGCAACTGCATTGTATGAAATAAGGTAAGAGATAAAAAACAAAAAGTGAAACCAAACACATGGAAAGTTACTACAAACCATCTTAAATTTTGCTATCCAAGCTGAACGTCATACAGTTAAACCTCAAATACTCAAGAAAAATTACTACAAGGTTTTAAATTTTAATCTAGTTCCTTTGTTAACAGGCAATAAAGCTTTGTTTTTTTGAGCTTATCTCCTTAAAAAAAAAAAATGCCCTATTAAAAAACTTCACATATTAACTTTTACTTTCTACAACGGTTCTATAAAAAAAACACAGCTACATCTTCTGATACAATAGATCACCACGTGCAAGAGGGCAGTGTCCAACACAGATCTAGCTCAACCTTCAGTTACCGTATTTTCTGGTATACAACAAGCCTTTCAAAACAAAAAACCAAACAAACACAGCTGCTGGAAACTGGAATCTGGATTACATGCGAGAGAGAAGGTAAGCGCAAGTTCTGCCGCTTTTAGGCGAAACAAAGTAAAATCAGCACCGATCCACAGGAAGCAGAACAACGGGCAGGCTCAGCTCCCACTACTCCATTTACTTATTACAAGAAAAGATCTTTTCCTTCTTCATTCTGACTTTCAAAAGCAAGGCACATGCTATACTTCAGGGTGTGTCATATGCAAGACAATACGGTATCCAGCAAAAGAGAAAATGAACAGGCTCTGCCCCAAGCCCTAGAAGATGGTCAACCTCATGTTTTCCATGCTACACTTTTCCTTCCCTAAAAAGACATGACCACCACAACATTGAACGCACAGACACACATGCACGCACACACTTTGGTTAGTTTATATAATATATAGCACAAGCTTTCATGAGCTGAAGCTCACTTCATTAGATGCTGTCATCAGGCAGGTCTCCAGAAGCCAAACATCTCCCAGGTCATCCTAGTGTCCTCGTGTGTGCATAACCATATTATGTATACGTATGTATGAATATGCACACACACCCCCACCCCCACCTTAACATTGTCTAAATAAAACATTCAATGCAGAATCTAAAGCTTAAAAGAAAAAGTTCAATGCACTTCCTGCAAGTGGGAGAAACTAAAACAACGTACTGGCTCACCAGTCACGCTTCCCTATACTCGGGGG